GAAGGGGCACTGGGGCTCCTCTGGGAGGGAGGGAGCCAGATGCTGTATGCACCAGCCCTTGCTGGGGGGGAGGGAGGCTGCCCCCCGATTTAATTAGCTGGCGGCTCCCCCAAGGCCCCCTCACAAAAACGTCCCTAGCTACAGGACTGATCCAATCCATCATTATTTTTGGACCTAGGTTCTGTGTATCAGTTTTAAGGGAGAATGATATGTTGCTGTATGCACCGGGCTATAGTTCACAATGACCCCAAGGGGCTTAGGATCAGGTCCTACGACCTAAGGACCTTGCAGAGGACTTGCTCAGTGTCCTACAGCCGTATGACTGACCCGTTGCACAACTCCCTCTGCTCCTCCCAAACTACCATATAGAGAACAAGTCCTCTCCCACGCACATCCATTTCACAAGGAGGCTCTCTCCCCACTCACTCCCTTCTTAGCCACTCCACCCCAGGGCGAGATTAACCATCAAGCTGGGAAAGCAAGACAAGGCTGTACAAATGGCATTTGTTGAGCAATATCCATATAGTTGAATTGAAATGGATTTCAAAATAGCTTCTGTACTGGCAATGACCACCTCCACCACCTCCTTCAGCCACATGGTGAGTATCAAGGGATGCAGAGGAAGGGAGGATACAACCGCAGGCAAAACAAAAACAACATCTAGGTCTGGCAGGCCAGAAAGAAGGGAACAAGGGTTTAAATTAAAACTGGTTAGGCTATCTAAGGTAGGAGAACTGCCAAGTTATCATCTTTTTTATAGACAGAAGCTTTCTACCTTTTAAAAGCAGGACATCTGGTTGAAACAAAGGGTGCAGGGTTTTTTCCAATGCAGGTACGGCTTTGTTGGGAAATCTGTCTGTTGTGCAATTGTTAGGAAGAGGAGAGAAACAACAGTGGGGTTTGGTCAGGTAAGAGTCACTAAAAAAGTAAATGTCGAAGAAGGAAAGGAAGACAGCCTAATAGCCAGAGGAGAAAGCTATCACACGGATGATCCAAACAGTCCTCCAACTTTTTTTTTTTTAGTGTGATAAAAGCAAGCACTCTGGAAGGCAATAAATCACATGATAATAAATGTTGCTATCCAGTTAAGAAAGCCTGCTTCTTTTATTCCAGCATCATCTTAAAAGTGTCTACTGCATTTCAGCTGAGCTGAGCATGGTCCAAAACAATGCTGAGCTGCCCAATGACCTCTTCATAAGCCTGTCAGAAAAGAAATATGTCACCTACTTACCGTCACCCTACGGGTAAGCTAATCTTCAGGTTGCTCAGAGGTAAAATATCTCTTAACAAAGAAACAATTTACCAAAATTTCTGCAGCACCCCAAACTGAAAGGGTGGGTAACTGAGAAAGAATCTACAGAGCATTCTTAGAGATTATCATACCCGGTGTCCAATGTCTCCAATAGTGTGTATGGATGAATACACCACTGGGAGTTTCTGAAATAATTTTTCTAAACAAAACCAGGTACCAGTAGGTATGGATAGTAATACATAGATACCTTCCTCTGATCCATTCTTCATCTTCATAAAGTTCTGTGGAAATAAATAGGATACTTCTACATCAGCACCCCAAAGCTTGCTGGAACAGGACATCTGATGCAAACCCAGAAACTCCCTCTTCTAATGAGAAGTTCTCTGTTTACTTCAGTAGAGAGGAAACTCCAAAGACCTAAAGCAAATTAAGATTTATACCTCCGCTCAAGTGAACCAGGACACACAATCCTGATTGTGTATCACAGTGTGCATAAACATTCAACAGAGTCAATGTACTTTAAAAAGACGGGTTGTTAAGAGCAAGAGTCTACAATGTTCGAGTCACACATTTAGTCTCGCAAGAGATTATGAGTGTCCAAAAAGTCAAGATAGTTGAGGTCTCTAGGAGACCCTGGGTCATTCACACACACACTCAGTTTAACTTACCTCGCAGGATTGCTGTGAGGACAAAATGGAGATGGTGGAAGCTGCTTTGGGTCCGCATTAGGGGCAGAGGTTGCAAGTAAGTACAATTAGATGCTAAATGATGTTGGAGATGATAGCGACTGCCCAGCTGTTACCAAATTATTCAGCAAGATAAAATCCCACACAGCATGTGAAAAATCTTCAAAAGACATTGAGGGGCAATCAGTATAGCGGCTAGAGTATTAGGTCAGGATGGGCAAGATTTAGGCTCAAACTTTCATTCAGCCATGAATCTCAGTGGAAGACCTTGGGCCTGTCTCTCACAGCCAGAATTGTTCTAAAGATAGAACGGGGAGAGTTGTGTAGCCTGAGCTCCTTAGAGGAAGGACAAGTGCAAGATATAAATGTAATAGGCTGCTGAACTGGGAAGTATCTTTTCAACTAGCAACAGAGCAACAATAATTTATGGTATTACATATTTAATGTCTGCAGAATTTACATTAACTCTCAAGTGTAAATAAATCTACGTACCAAATAATGGAGATAGGAAATTTTGTCCTAACCTTTTGAGTTGCACAATCGTGAAGTAAAACCCAAGTGTCCACCCTGGAAACGCCTCAAGGTCTTAGGAGAAAGCACACTAAGAATGTTGTATCAGTGTGCTGCAGGAATAAAGAGGGAGAAAGGAAAATAACATGCTTACAACTAGGAACTAGAACTATAGAATATCACAATTCCATTGCATTAGATATGAGGCTGGAGCCTATGAAGCAAGCACATGAGGCGTTCACACCAGCTCTTCCCCCTCAGCACCCTGGAAAGCTGATTCTGTGGATCAGGGGACCCTCAGGAACACAGCAGTGTGCTGTACAGAGGGAGAGAGTGTGTGTAAGCTTTCCCACAAGCATTAAGCTTCAACCGTATCCCATGACACATCCCAGTCTTGGTGCCAGCAGCCCTCAAGCCTCAAGAACAGCTTTTCAGAGGGAGGTAGGAGGCTACTGGGGGAAGAAGGCAAGGTATGCCCCATGACCTAAAGGAGCCAAGCAACAGCACACTGACCACAAAATATTGTACACTTATTAGTTCATCAATTCAGCAAAGCATGTTAAAGAATTTATATTTTGTTTTTTGAAGTATGTACCATCACACCAGCATCCTTACTTCTCACAGCTGTGAAAATACAAATGACTGGAGAAAATCAATCATAAACCTAAGAACTTAAAACATTTTTCGTGCTTGGTAACAGGCTACATTGCCATTATATTGTTGAAATTTATACCAGAATTGTGTATTATCAGGCTATTTAAATTTTAAAGTAGATGGGAAACAAGAATAGGTTTTCTTGGCCTGGCAGTGGACAGAATAGAGATTTACATATTGGTTTTAAAGATAATACCAGGCCTGATGTAAAAACAAAGCCAGTCATCTTACCTGGACAGAGATTTAAGATACCTTTTAAACAACTAATCTCTGTGGCCGCATTTTCCTTTTTAGCAGAAATGTTAGAAGATTTGATGTATGCCTTTCCCCAACTGTAACAGACACAATCTTACACATCAGAATGGGGGAGGGGGGAATGCAGTCCATTTCACGGGTTGAACTTGTCACAACAAGCACTATGTATCAGTAAGAGTAGAATTACCACACACTCATTGAAAGGACAGGGAACTATGGTAGGGAAATGTCATCATTCTGTGATGTTACAGGTTGCAATAAGCACTGAATGATTACCAGAATGTGTGCAAAGAATGGAAACCCCATCAGCACATCCTCCATTTGTAGCAAATCAGTGCGGGTTACTTAACATACCCATTTCCTATTTTTTACTCCCCATCTCCCCCACAAGCCAAGCTCTGCAGAACCAAAACTGCATCAAGAAGTCACCACAATACAGTGTGTCAATAAGCTGCCCACCTAGTAGTAATTTTCTGATTAGGAGGAGTTAGTGTCTTGAGCAATGGAGCACATTAGTTTTCATCCAAATGCATACCCCCATCTCTTTTTTTTTTTGCCAAGTAAGTCTCAACTGATTTATGGTGACCCCCATAGGATTTTCAAGGCAAGACACATTTGGAGGTGGTTTGCCATTGCCTGCCTCCATGTCACAACCCTGGTATTCCTTGATCTCCCATCCAAATACTAACCAGGGCCCTGTTAATGAAAGAAAACATGAAATACTTATATTTTTTTCTCACGGTTGATGGCAACAGCAGGTCTGTTCCATTACAGAACAGCTATGGAAGAGTAGCATAATTTAATAAGCATTTTGATTCCAGCTTAACTGGTTTGCTTATCAGGTACTAACTTTAGTTGCCTGGTACCTGTGTATAGTTGTTCTAAAGAACCAGCTGCACAGACAGCAGTATAATAGAGCCAGAGAAGGGCCTGGGTGATTAGAGTTGTACTCTGTTCCTTTGAGGAGTTCAGTACCTTAAACTGTGGGGACTACAGTTTCACATACAAGCAATGATGAGAGCCAGATGTTTACCATATTCTTTTAAAGTATTCCCTAGATGTAAGACAGGTCAGAACTAGCATTCTTCTGCTGAATATGAACAACAGGACTGACAACAATCCACTATTTTGTCTTAATGAGTGTACCAGAGAAGTTTTTTCTTAAATCAGGCATATGCAGTGTTCCTTCTAAGCTGTGTTAGTGTGAACAAGCTCAGTTTTTTAGCCTACAGCTCACACATTTTTGTCTCATTCAGAAAGGATGGCTCCAGAGCAAACAAATTTATGCAGCAGCCAAATAGCTCACTCACAACTTTAATGCCAGTAGCACACAAAGTAGAATTTTTGCCCACAAGACTCCACAGTTTAGAGGGAGCATTGGGCGTATGTACTTATTTACAAGCTTGAAATACTGGCTGTGCATCCATCTGTAAGACCAATTTTGGAGAACCACGTCTATTGTTAATGAATCAGTCTTGAAGATATTTCTGCTCACCAATATTCTCCTATGATTCTAAAGAAGGTAGCTAGAAAAGACAACCTTACTTGAAAAGTATTTTGATTTAAATCACTTACGAAACTTCAAACAGATTTTTAAAGTAATTTATTGGAAATAGTTCTTCAATTACAAACAAGCTTTCTCATTTACAGAATGCGCTGACAGCAAAGGGTAAGAAATATAGCCTCCCAGTCACTTGCCTATGACAAACATAACCCTGCAGGATCACAGAATTGCTTGCCTTTTTAACCTTTCACTCAGCCCTTTGAATTGTGTATTTCCGTGGTCCGGTTAGCTGCTTAAAAAGGCATTCTCTGAGAGAGTACCTGACTTCATCTTTACCTTGTTATGCTTTGCAACAAGGAGATGTTCTTAGTGTGGCAAAGACATATCAATTTTATGTCTGCTACCCTGTGAAAACGCAACTCATTTAGTCTTTTACACTGTTCTGCTGACTTCTATGAAATTCACATGCTGTACAGGCTAAAGAAATAAGCTTGAGTCACAGCAATATAAAAATGTGGATATAGCAGTATGTTTTTAACCTGCTAACTTGTTCAGCTGAACTGTGGTACACCAGGCTGCATGCATGTTAATGCTGTCTGGACTACTATGAATTATAGTATTATGGCACAAGTCACCATGTGATATTTTGCACTCACACCCCACCTTTGTTCAAATTGTTCCTGAAGGTTCCAACCACCCCAACCAAGGAATGACGATGTAAGAAACATCAACAGTGAAATACAATATACAACAGCTAAACATTGTGAAACGTCAGTCTCAAATGCATCAGAAAAGTTTGCTCCTTTGTGTAATCTATGGTCAATTAAAAGCATTGCTTTTACACTAAACTGCTTCAATAACCAATGTCCCAAGAAGCATAGGATAAGGTCTTCCACTAGTAACCATTTGAAAGTTGAGATGCCACATGCTAGAGTAAAACTAAGCTACACATACATAAGATGTTCTTTTCAGATAAGCAATAACACAGCACACATCCGTTAACCAAGCTGCATGAGTGCGCTTTGAACTAGTCATACAATCACTATCGATAAGCTTAACTTTTCCATTTTAAATAAAACCACTTCCATCTATACAGAAGATTAACAAAGATCAGTGTTTACATATGATGCAGTTACTAAGTATCTACACTGCCTATGCTTTCATATTAACATAAAGCATGAGTTTGATTCACAGAATAAGTAGGTCCACGATTGTAAGTTAACAATAACTCTTTATTGCTTTATACATGTGACGCTTTTTCAAGGCACTGTGGCATGGACTAGAAAACCTGGAATGACTTGTGAAGGAACCTGGAATGACATATGGTCAATATGGAAAGTTCTTCATAAGCAAGACGACAGCAAATTTAAATTCCAAGTTATCAAACATCAGGAATGAGAGTTCATAGTTCACAGGAGAAAAGTCTTGTTTAAAGATCAGCTTCTTCACATGCCCATCCTGATACTCTGAATAATCTGAAAAATAGCTGCAAAAGGAAGCAGATTTAGATATTGCTAGCCAAGAAGTTTGTCAGGTGATACACATAACTCTAAAATGGTCTTCCCTGACAAGGCCCTGCCATTGAGTTCGAAAAAAATCCCATGTTAAAATTTTTTAAATAGATAGATAAAGAAGTAGAAAGATAACTATATACTACGCCATATGGCAAAACAACTCTCCAGTTTTCTGGAAGCAACATAGTTTGGCCACTGCAAGAAACAGCATGCTAAACTAGATGGAGCACTGGCCTGATCCCACAAAGTTCTCTTTAGATTGCTAACTGGAATTTTATTTATATAACTTGAACAAGCTAGAATTAGTGAGATAGATAAGTTCTACTTCTTTGACCACTATAATGTGCAAAACTGCTATTTATGGTTTGCATACTAAATATTTCAGCAGAAGTTAATAAACTCTGGGAAGTGATAAGTCTATCACACAAAATCAGCTACAACCCCACAATGTTTCAGACCTTCATTTATATCTTATTTTGCCAAGCTACAAATGTGTTTATTATCTTTTGACCAACGATAAAAGTGATACAGCCTCCTTACATGATTAGTAACAAGCAACCAAATTCCCACATATCAACAAAAGTTGAGGCCAATAAGCTTGGCAAACAGGTGAGCTATCACATGGTAGTCTTAATAACAGTGTTCAACCAGATTATGGAAACCAAGCTTTTCTTTTTTTTATCATAAGCCACCTGGTGAATGGCAAAACCCCTTTCCATATAATTTTGATATTCAAAAGAAGTGAACTTGAAACCACAAAGCAATATATTCAGACCTGGCTTCACAGGAAGTAAAACGCTTAAGACAGCATTCTGAAACTAACATTCTAAGTGTTTTCACAGTGGAGCGTCTACTGTTCTGTGGTTAAGAGTATTCGGCTAGGACCTTGTAAAGTGTACCCTGAAGCTCATGGGGCACACTCTCAGCCTAACCTACCTCAGTAGTCTGTTGTGAGGATAAAATGGGGAGAGCCAGGTATGCCACCCCAATCTCCTTGAAGGAAGGAAGGACAGGATACAGATGTCATACTCCAGGTGCAGAAACATTCAAAGAATTTGTACTGTGCCGTTTATAAACACACACCATCAGAAGATTAAATGTTACAACAGTTATTGCTTCACCTTGTCTTTACAAGAACGGAGCAAAAAGAGAGCCATATTGGGGAAAAGCAGGTTGGGAAACGGATGCGGGTGGGGGGGAGAAGAGGAGGACGGTGGAGCTGGCGTGGCACAGCGCTGAGAGCCTTGCACGAACATCTGGGAAAGCAAGGTTCAGGTGCTCACCGGGCCACGAAGCTCGGGAGTCTGTTACAAAGACAAAACGAGGAGGAGAAAACCACACAGACACGCGCGAGCGCGGCACGAAGCTCCGCAAAAGGAGAGCAGGATCAACAGACACTAGATAACTACGGGGTTTTTTTTCCCCACAAGAAGAAGAGCGGGTTTCTGGCGACTGTCGGTGTCCCATAAGGAAGACGTGAAGGAGACGAAGCAGCAGCTGTCGCGGGGACGTCCTCGGTGGCTCGCGCTCTTCCATTACCTCCCCACCCACCCCCCGGGCCGGCCAACAGCTGGTGCCCCGCACTTACCCGACCCGCAGACCACGAAGATGAAGAGAGCCAAGAGCCACGGCCCCACCGACGCCTTCTCCTCGGGCGCGTTTCTCTGTGAGGGGGAAAGAGCCACCACGTCAGCCCTGCTCACGGGAAGGAAGGAAGGTAGAGTCCCGTGGCACATCCTCCCCCCACCAGCCCCGTCTTCCCCGGGAGGTGGAGACCCGCGCTCCCAACTGCTCCCCTGAAGGCCACCCCCTACCGAGGTCTTGGTGACGTTCCTGCACTGCGTGATGTTCTTGCTGTACTTCTCGTTGGCCATCCGGATCCGCTGCTTGGCCACCATCTTGGCTACCGGGGCTGCAGGAGGGAGGGAAGGAAGGGAGGAAGGAAGGGGAGTCCCGCGGCACATCCTCCCCCCAGCGGCCCCGTCTTCCCCGGGAGGCGGAGACCCGCGCCGCTCCCAACGGCTCCCCTGAGGGACACCCCCCTACCGAGGTCTTGGCGACGTTCCCGCGCTGCGTGATGTTCTTGCTGTGCTTCTCGTTGGCCATCCGGATCCGCTGCTTGGCCACCATCTTGGCTACCGGGGCTGCAGGCGCCGGCCACCACCGCCACAGCCGCCGCGCTCGACCAACGCCGCACCCGCCTGCTCTCGCCCCGAGCCCCCAGTCGCTCGCCGCCTGTGGCGCTGCTGCTGCTGCCGCTGCCACCGCTGAGGGAATGAGGCGGCTCGCTCTCTCTCGCTCCCTCCCTCCAGGCGAGCCGCCGCGTAAGCAGCAACTGCCCCTCACGCAGGACCCGCCCTCCGGAAGCACGTTACGCAGCGCCGGGAGAAGGGGGGGGAAATGAGTTTGAGGCCACGACCTGGAACCAGTCCTTCTGCCAAGCCCGGGGCTCCCTTTTTGGCCTCCTAAACTAGATTTAAACTCGCGACCGTTCTTAACCTCCCTGTGTCTGTCATCGCACTCTCCGCTATTTGGACCAATCGGGGCTCGGGTAGGAAACTTCGCCCGCCTCTCTTTGGCACGTGACTAGGGAAGCTGTTCCGCCTCCTCTCCCCCGACCCCTCCCTTAAGCTTCTACACGTCATGCGGAGAGAAGCTTCCGCTTTTGAGCTGGCTGCGGAGGACGAGGAGACGTGTACGATTTATAGTCGTAGTCAGTGACCTACCTTCCCGTAACCCGGAAGGAGAGAGGTCGGGGTCCGGCTCAAGATGGCGCCTCCCACTCCACTGCTGGCAGGTGGGTTTGCTGTAATCGATAAGGGGCTCTCCCCCCGGTGGGACCAATAGAGCGAGGTCCTTGTGAGGTCACGGTTGCCGCGCGGCGGAGTCCTTTGGAGCTCTTGCGTTGCGTCATGCGCAGCACGATCCTAAACTCAGAAATAAGCCTACTGTCTTGGGTTCAATGGAGATCATTTTCTATTAAGTACACACACACGGGATTGCAACCGTTAGGCGTGTTTACTCCAGAAATAAGTGATGTGGAATCTAGTGCAAGTGAGCCGGTGGCCCTGCTCATATCAGTTTGGGAGAACGTCCCGTTCGTACAGCTTTTCTAAGCCTGGATCGGTCTTCTGTAGGGTTTGGGTGGTGTATAAAAAATTGTACGCATGACCCAGATCATCAAACTGTGATGTTCTTTATCCAACGGAGAGTGCATGAATGCTTCAGAGGGACTGTGTTGCATACAGTTGTGTAAAAGGGGTGTTGTTTTGGTGAAATTCTTTGTGGAGACTTAGCCACAGAAAAGTTGTGCATTCTTAAATGCCTCCTTTTACGTAATTGTTAAAGATGATTTTTTATCAGGTGTGTTACAGCAATAGAGTCGGTAGCATGCTGTCTGAAAAGACTGTATTTTACTTGACAAAATACAAAGCTGTGGTGACTGTGGAGCTGCTCTGATTTCTTCTGTTCTCTTCTCCCACCTGCTCTTGCAACTTGGACATCTCTGGACTTGCCACTGAGAGGGTTTCTATAAGACAGGCATTGCTTGGAGTTCTACCAGTTATGCAGTTCTTGTTTTGTAGAGTTATGATCCACATGTATCTAGGATTCGTGTCAGAGGTTTGTCCCTTAAACTGAGTTGAAAATATTGTGATCACTTAAAAAATAACAGTACATTAGAGTTGTAAATGCCAAAATTATTTGTTGAGGATATTTTAATTTTGAACACCTGTAGTGTCATTAATGTGTTTCCTACTTGCTTCATTCAGTGTTCTGCTTGCCAATTTTGTGGACTGCTTGGGTCCTAATGGCATTGGTGATGAACTTTTTTTAAGCAGTGTTAATGTAGAGTAAAGATGATTGCCAGTCACAGTTTTCGTTCTGCTACACATAACACTAAACATATTATAATGTAAGAGTATTGTAGGACAGTACAAATCTGAACTTTTGCATAGGTGATTAAACTGGTTAGAGGTAGAGATGTGAAGTCCCGGAAAAATTCGGGAAAAACCTGTTTTTTGTCTGTTTTTTCCCTGAAGCCTTTTTTGTTTTTTCCAAAAAACTGAAAAAATTGAAAAAAGAAAAGGAAAAAAATTGATTATGGAACATTTTATTTTAACATGATTAATAAAATATTTTAAGACAAGGAGTTCAAATATTTTCCAAATCATTTCTAAAAAATATGTATGGTCTAATTTCTGTGCACTGAGGACAAGCAAGTCCTAGGTTACAAACTGAACTCTCTAATGCAAGAACAAGATGCATTTCTTCCTTTAAGAGGTGCTATTGTCACAAGTAAAGAAAAAGGTTTCAGCTTTGTTTTTGCATGTGGGTGGGTATTCTGTTTGTAATAATTGTTTGGATACACTATATTTTTAATATGCTAGTTGTGATAATTTCATGCCAAATAAAAATGTCCATAGTCATATTTTATGTTCCTAAAGTAACAGAATGACTTTCAATCTGGAAAAGAAAAAAGAAGTGCTAATGTGGAATTTTTTCCAATTTTTCCAAAACTTTCCATTTTTTTCCGGAAAATTTCTGGAAATTTCACATCTCTAGTTAGAGCTTGCTAAGAGGCACTTGAGGTGGAGTTTGAATCGTATACTGTACCTTGTGCAAACTGGTCTGTATTTCAGGCTGCCTTTTTAGTGTCACTGTGTAAATGATACCTTGGTGTTGGGTATATTCATCTGAGCCCTCTGTGCTTTGCCAGCAAGGTCTGTCCTTTTGTTGGTAACTTGCTAAGTGGAAATTGCTAAGGAGTGTGGGAGAATTATTTCTCCAAGACCTTTTCTTGAGGTGAAGTGGTTTATGGCACTGCTTTGAGATAAAGTGACAAATGTGGGAGATATCTAAAAATGGTACATCTTTTTCTTCTCCCTGCCTCTGCAGTATGACAGTTCTGAGCAAAACCGAGTAAATCTGAGACTGGCATGAGAATTTGAAATTGAAAATTTGGCAGAACTATGGTTCAGCCGTTTTTCCATAGCTGTAGAAAGGGAGTAGTTTGTTAGGATACCATGACCACTGAATTTGTTTCATTGATGTGGGATGAACGTTGTGTGTTAATTCACGGATTAGAATTGTGTAAGTATTTATAACATTGTGGTAGGAATTAGGGAGTTTTCATGCAAGAATTAGTGATAATGTAAGATGACCATTTTAATGCTATTGTTTTTCCTCTCTTTTCAGTGACGTATAAACTAATGTTATTCACACAGCACACTCTGAAAAAGCTGTTATGTGAAACGGTATTATATGTTTTTTCCCATAGCTGGCAGCAGTGCAGCTGCACCATTTAAGTTTCTTGATCTGTCTGCTCCAGTAGTCATGGATTTCAGCAAACTTGGAAGGGTGTAATTCCATTTAGGATGATGCTGTTGGTTGCCACCTTATCCAAGTCAGTTCCTTGCCAGTGTTAAGGGATCAAAACCAGTATATTTGATGACAACCATAGATTCAAATTTGATTACTCAGTTCTCAGGCCACAAACATTCCTTTAATGTGAAAATCAGTATAAATTCCACTGTATATCAAAAGCAATCAATGCTGTTTTCCCTACTAGTGCGAGGATCTGAAGGACTCTATATGGTGAACGGGCCTCCTCATTTTACAGAGAATACAACATTTCAAAGGTATGTTGTTTTTCAGTTCCATTCAGTATTGTAGCTTGTGGATTATAAGGAGTAAAAATATCACAGAAGTGTGTGTTTGTCGTTATGCTGTAAATTAGAACTTTTATTCTGTGAACAAAGAAGCATGTTTCTGGTTGCCATTTGAAAATACCCCCCCCCCAAACACAAGGTTTTTAAGTGTATGAAAAGACATCAGAACCTCTGTATGGTTTGGGTTCCTCTCTGCTGGAGTGCTGAACTCTGTTTTGACCATCAAGTGTAAAAACAAACACCCTTGCCTAGTAACTGGAAGGTCTTGAATTAGGCACCTTCCAGATTCCAGCTTTGTAAGTAATGTGGAATAATGACCTCCATACTCCATTGCCAATTCCCTCCCACCACAATCACTGCCCATGGGGCAGTCTCCCTTGCATCTTAAAAGGACAGGAGGTCAGTAGGTTAATGAAGATACCCTGTTTGAAAGTAGAAGTTATAAAGGTCTTTGGGTGTCACTTGTAGGGCTATCAAATTAGAGTGCTTTCAAATGAACTAGAATCTTGAAATCCATGTGTAGTCCAAGGTGCCCCAGTTACAAGAAAAATCTGAAAATGGGATATTGGTACATTTATCCTTCATTAGGTAGGGACTCAGGTTGCATTATAAAATGGTCAAGTACTTCCAAACCACATGGAATGCTGAAATTTGGCACCCACATAACACAAGACATACTGAGGTCCCTGCCACACGGGGGGGGGGATGCGCGGGCAAAGTGCGGCTTTTGAAAGCCGCACCAAAATAGGCACACAGCGGCGGGATCACACAGATCCCGTGAGCTGCCGCACACTTGCTCCCCAGCACGATCAGATGCCGGGGAGACCGGGGAGAAAGCCACGAAACAGAGAGGGAGGCTGCTGAAGTGCGCATGATTTGGAGATGGGAGTAAGCAGTGAAGTGGCTAAATTTGCGGATGATACAAAGTTGTTCAGGGTGGTGAAAACCAGTGAGGATTGTGAGGCACTCCAAGGGGATCTGTCAAGGATGGGCGAGTGGGCGTCAACATGGCAAATGGGGTTCAATGTGGCCAAGTGCAAGGTGATGCACATTGGAGCCAAAAATCCTAAATATAAATACACATTGATGGGGTCTGAACTGGCAGAGACTGAGCAAGAGAGAGATCTTGGAGTTGTAGTAGATAACTCACTGAAAATGTCGAGACAGTGTGTGACTGCAATAAAGAAGGCCAATGCTATGCTGGGGATTATTAGGAAGGGTGTTGAAAA